ACACTAGTCACGTGACCTCGCTGACGCAACAATATATTTGACCAGGAACCTTTCCAAAGTTCCATCATTACAAATTATTTAACTTCAGTGGATTCTCATCGGATATTAGTATTTTTACGAAAATATTACCTAATTTCAACGGTGGAAAACCTAGCGTATGTGGCCAAGGAATTAACACACGGCCAAGGAAGCTGTTAAGTTGATTTCACTCCAACTGCCTTTGTTGTTCTCTAGTAGATAATACCTGTTTGACCCAGGAGAATATTGATTGAATACTGCATATTGTGCAACGATGTCGACAGCAGTATCCATCAGTGGTCATTCAGGTGATATTTCAAATGATCACGCAGTCACGTGGGTAGTACTGGTGGCTGTGGGTAAATATGATGTTTCTTGTGAACAAAGAAACACTGGATTTAGTCAGTCTTGTACATGAATTCAGCTTAAATTGATGGATATAAAGTTTCAGTTGAAGCAATTGTCATGTGTAAGTAAACACAATTTGTTATGTGTTTCACTTTGTGTCGTTTCTTTAATTCATTCATTTTCAGTGGTCAGTTACTCCAAAATCAGTGTCTTGACCAAATCCTCTGTTATTAAATTAACCTATCCCATTAATCTAGTTAATTAATTTTTACTTGGATATACCCGTGTTTCCTACTCGTTAGTTAATATGTAAAATTTTCAAAACTTCTATATTTTCTTTAGGTTTAGTTTGAACACAGAACGTCACTCAAGTAAACACATCTAATTTTTCCTGGTTATATCTTTGCCTGGAACTTAATTCTAACTGGATATTAATCGAGTTTCCTTACAGTAAAGATAGCTCAGAATAGAAGGCTGTTTTTTTCTTTTGCCAATTTGGTTAATGGCCCAGGGTATCTCAACCTTGTAGTCGAGTTGTTTTGGATGGTCATATGTACGATGTGCAGGTACATACAAACCTGGCTTTCTTGTGCTTTGTACTTAAAGCCAAGTTTGCCCCAGTAGGAGGAACTTTTGCAAACTTTTTGTATTTCTGCAGGATTGACAACTTGTCTCCGCATTATGACATTTACACAATCTAGTAAAAACTGTAATAGAGCTGTGTAATTTAATCATCTACCTATGAGCAGTGATTATATTCATCAGTATCACATAAACTAATTGTTAATCAAAATTATGATTAAATTGATTACTTGAAATTAGCATTTTTGATTATTACAACAAGTTTTCATTAAATTGAGTTTGTTTAGCTTTGGTGATTTGGGTAACTCATGATATGATGATTTCAGGTTCGATTCCCATTGCCACCAAACTTATTTGCCTGTTTTTATTATGCCATAGATACTAAGGCTATCTGTCATTGCTACTAATTTTGAACTGCTGACTAGAGGGAAGGAAACTGGCTGACAGATTCTGCCACCAATTTTGTTATTCTTTTTTTACCTTTTAGATCTGCTGCATGGAGAAAAAACAATTGGATAACAGCACCTGTCACAAACTTTTTCTGCTTATATGTACATTGGTTTGAGGAACTGATTAATGGGGCTGTCAATTAATCAATTATCAAATGCCACTAAGTGCCCAGCCCTACATTGTAACTTAGCTTTTTTTAGAATATTTGTATTTAGAAATAGAAAGCTTATAACTTCAAAATCAGAAGCATCTATTCTACTGAAAACTTTGACTAACAATGTTGATATCCATGTCCAGATACTGTGCTTTATTGTTAGTGAAAGAGCTTTTTCCAGAGTATATTTTGGTGAATAAATTTGCTTGATAAAATCAAGTAAACTTTGCCAATTAGGTAAAAAGATATCATCTATATACCTACAAGCATGACTGATGTGCAAAGCTTTTTGATTATAGTCTTTTTTTTTTACTAAGGTTTGTAATGTATGAAATTTCAAGTTTGATTAAATATAAGTCTACAATGTGTGGGTTTAAGTTACCTCCAACACATGTAGGCATCTTTTGAATTTGTTGGAAGTCATGGTGGCTGAACTGTACAAAGATGTTGAGTAAGAAATACCTAACTTGTTAATTATGAGTATAAATTTTATGAGTAACATTGTCAAAGAAACATTTGTGTTTACTAACACAAAGCATTAATTTACCAGAATTGTTAAATGATCTCGAAATTATAGATGAAATACTCTTTTTAATTTCTGCAATTGGAAGACATGTGAAAAGGTTATTAAAATCAAAAGCTTCCATTGTTTTATCCACAAAACTTTTAATTTTTTCTTTACACTCACTGGAGTTACTGAAGATAATGAATAGGTTAATATCAATTTTTTCTTTAATAATATTACCTCATATTACAGTATGTGTTTAAAAATTCTTTAATGTATTTCAGATCATTACCTGTAGTTGATAATGTCTTTGTCTGTATTGACATGTTTATATAGCTTATTACCCAAAATTTAAGTGTTTTCAAATTAAACCCTAGTTCTTTACATAAAGTTGTAACATTTTCAAATTAAACCCTAGTTCTTTACATAAAGTTGTAACAATTTTTTTCTTAGGTATAAACAAAGTTATCAGATGCTTTGCCAGTGGGAATGATGCTGTACCTACTATAGAAGAAATCTATACAGTAACTTCTTTCTTATTCAAAATTTATTTAATATTGTTAAATATTGACTTTCCTTAAATATTACATGTATTTATGGATTACAGTTTTATTTAGCTATTCCTTAGAAGTAATCTTAATGAAGCTTTTTTTTATGATTTCTTTAAAACTTTATTGAATGATTCAATAATTGCTTTTATAGTTTGATTCCAATGAATTTTATGACATTCCTAAAACTTAGGAATTTTTTTCATTAACTGTTTCAAATAATCATTAATTACAATGTCAAAGTTACTAGGAAGTACATGGTCAATAGGAAAATAAATATTAGGAGATAAATAACCATTTGCAGTGAGAAGATAAAATGTGAGGTAATTCCTTATTGATTATGTTATCTAACAGATTATTAAAAGTAGTCGGCTGCCAATGACCCTCTTGCAAACACAGTTAACAGTAGCCCGGGTATTTAATTTTACAACTTGTATTAAAGTGAATCTTACTATAGATTCATATTTAACTAGGTTACATGACTGAATTTAAGACTGCTAGAGGTTTATTCTTTAAATACAAAACATGTACGTGTATGTAAAAGTAAAACAAAAATTCATAAATCTAGATGACAATTTCAAAAGAATATTGTAGGTAGTAAGACCAGAAGACACAAGTTTAAAATATGAAACACTTGTACATAGCAGTGTTATTTTCCTAACAGAATAGTCAGCCTATGGAATAGTTTGTCTTCAGGTATGGTACATGCTGCAAAACTGAGTAAGTTAAAAGAGGAGACTGTATGAATATTTTACATTACAAGTTTGTATATAAGAAGAGGGGTTTATGTAACCTGCAGTTAGGTGGTAGTAGAAAATAAGATAACAAAAATGGGCCTTGGAAATGAAAAACTACATTTATGAAAATAAATATTAATTAAACCATGGCAGCAAAGATTTCTAATAGTGAACACTTTAAAGAATAAGACAGAAATTGTAAAGACATTTTGGAAGTATCTCTTCAACTGTCAAATGCTTTTAATTTTTCAATACCTAATAAAAAAACATGCAAAATAAAAATGACAGATAAGTCATCCTCTTAAGTTCACAATGGTCAGCCAAAATATGGCTACATTTTCTAGACTCATGATATTACACATACATTACCATCATAAAAATGTCTGTACAATCACATTTTCTTTCTAACCTTACTGAACAACAACAATCACTACAGCTCTTCAATAAAAGACTATAAGATTCATAATTATAAATCTTATTTTCCCTTCATTTAAGAAACATGTTAATACAAAACCTAGCTTCAAAGCTGTTTTAACTCTAAAAACAGTTATTTCTCAAAATAACACTTAAATTGTCACTAGTTTGATATTTTGCATTAAACTAAAATTTAAAATTACTTTGGTGCACAACAAGGACATACAATGGTACACTACTGCATATAATGATTATTCTTTAAATACAAAGCAACATCTATGTAAAAGACAAAAATCATTATTTTGGAGGTAACATTTATTATATTTTGATCCAGAATATTTTGAGACTTAAACTTCATGTAATCAGTACATTTACAACAATGTTTAATATATATATGTATTTTAAGTTAGCAAATATTTGCATATGGCATAACAAATAACATAATTCATAATTTTGCATTATTACATATGCTTGTCAAAACTTGATTTTAGATGCTTCATGTCTGAAATATATATCTTTACCAAAACACTTCAGTAACGTGTGAAAATAAATTTTTCTATCTCAACACTGGACTGTTAGGGCTTCTCGTATGTTTAAAATTTCACAGCTGCATTTTAAACTTAATTTACAAGTTCTATTACCAATTGAAAATATTTTCTAGAAGAGGTTGTCATGTGGCAAAAGAAAAACTATATGAAAACAATCTTGAGTTAAATGTGTATCAATATTGTAAAGACTTATATAATTTCTAATGATTATGTAATATGCAAACAACTTCCAAACCAAACAAGGGTATGGACAAATGTCTTACCATGACACACAAAATGACAGACCTGAAATTTTATTTCTTGAGGTTTCCATTTTTCTTTAGATAAATGATTAAAAAAAACATCTATCAGAAAATGTTTATTCAATTACAAAAGTTCATATACCAATCAGCCACTTTCAGAGTTTCACAGCATTGTTTATACCAAACTAAAAAACATTCAAATTTATGAAACCTGTATAAAATACACCACTCTACAAGTAAAAGTGATACAGTACAGAACTAGATAAAAAAAAAATACACTAGAGTAAACTAACTAAATTCATTCTATTTATCAGTCTGTACTACTAGAGTTATGATTGCATTTTGTTTTACAAGATTTTTTTTTATGATGCTTACTCTTTAGCTTATGTTTACTTTGTTTTTTCATCTGTTTCTTCTTTTTTTTAGGAACTTTGGTACTGTTAGTTGACTCAGTGTCTACATCACTCAATGACCCAGAATCATTTGACGTTTCTGGTGTTCTGGATCGGTGTCTTTTTTTTCTTTTCTTCTCTCTTTTGGTTTTTGCTGTCTTTTTGTGTTTCTTTTCCTTTTCACTCTGAGAATGTAAACTAATCTGTTGCAAAGGTGATACAAATTCCTCCTCACTGTCTGATTCTGAGCTTGTTGAGCTTATGTCCAATACAATATCTTTATTAGGATTCACCTTTACAAAGTTCCGACACTGGTATGTAAAATGACCAGGATATCCACACTTTTGGCATGCAGGCCTGACATGGTCAGATGTCTGATTAGTAAGTCGTGCCATCAAGTCTTTTAAACTATTCTCCATTTTGTAATGTAGCTTGTAATTAAGAATTTAGGTTACAAGTTTGGATTGTATACTACTTGCCAAGTCAAAATGTTAGTAATACTAATAATGAAGATTTTTAAAAATTTACTAAATATTAAAGTTTATAATAATATGCACTTGGGTCAAGATTCTTACTTTAAAAATTTAATATCAAGCCAAACCCATCCACATAAGTTTTATACAACACTAAAATAAAAATTGATATCAATATCAAGCTGAGCAATTAAGACCACACACAAATCTGCGTATCACTGTCTAATTCGAGACAAGCAAACAATCCACGTATCATATATTTAATCGATCGTACTGGTCACAACACCTATGTACTTCACTATAAAACTCCACTGAAATACTTGCCTGTGCTTATAGTTATAAACATACAATAATTTGTTAAATTATGTTATATATTATAAGCCTATTTTACCTCAATTAACAAAAAATTTCAGCGACTATTGTGGCGTCATCTGAAATGCTTGAATTTCATAAATTACTTTCTTTTTTCATTTTATGCCATCTACTGAAAGAAATTGACCTTTGGCGGCTAAGTGATATTCCTTAAAATTATATTAATATTCTACCTAACTGGGGAAGGAGTGTTTAAAAAATAAAATATGCTCATTTTTATACATTTTATTACATAATGCATAACAGTGGAAATTGTAAGTGGATATAAGTACAGATGTAGATATTTGGTCCTGGTGTGGAAAGGAATACTACAAGTTTGTTGGTTTCTAATAGTTTGTTCATTTTAAAGTGTAGGTTTGATTGTTCAAGATATTCGCACGAAGCTACATAAGAGCTGTATGCGATAACTAGTTTTCTGAATTGATTTGTTTAAGTTATAATCGTTGGTCGGAATTTATAAAATCGAAATGAGCCGAATTCGAAAAAAAATTCCAATGAGTTCAACTGCGTTGGTAGAATTTTGTTTACAACTCAGTTGGTCGAAATTTCTGTTAAAAAATTTAACTGCTGTATTATTTTATGAAACAGGGACACAAAATAATCATGAACCACCACTATTGACATTTTCAAGCGTTAAGCGATAAGTTATAACAATTAACTAATATGATTATCCGTTTGCCTTGAGAATGCATCAGTTGCTGTCACCCAATTGAACGAGTAATTTAAAATCACTTTTGTAACCTGTGACGTTCATAAACCCACTGAAAAAAGGCGTAAGCCGAAACGTCGGGTAGAATACAAAACCTTTTATTAGAAGTTGTTTGTCATCTTCATTGCAGATGAGCAGAGCACAATTTTCAGTGAAAGTACAGGCCTATCACGTGGATTTAATTTTAGGCACTACTTTGTGGACAGTAGGTCTAATGTCTTCAAAGAACTAAAAAAAAACACATACTGCACATACTACTGAACATGACTTCGTATGTACAAAAAAACTGGACTGTCAATTATAAAAGAACTAAAAAGTCACTGTACTAAGCTTTTCATTAAGTTAGGCAAGACTAGGTCTAGTTTTCACGACAATGCAAGGCAAAGTGCTGGAGCTATTTCGGACAACTTTACTTCAGAATAAATCCTGTCATGGCTTAGTGGTTAGAGCGCTCGACTCACAATCTGCGCATCGCGGATTCAAATCTCCGTCATACTGAACGTGTTCGCACTTAATGCTGTGGGTATTATATGTGTCGCGCAACCACACTATTCGTTGTAAAATGAGTACCCGGGAGTTGGCGGTGGGTGGTGTTGACTAACTACCTTCCCTCTAGTCTAACACTGCTAAATTAGGTCCTCGTGTAGTTTTGCGCGAAATTCAAAACAAACTAAACAGGAATACACGAGAACAAGTACCCAAAACTAGCATGGGTAAAACATACTGTTGCGTCATCGAGTCACATGACTACTGTGACGCAACGTTTCTAGAACTATCATGTACTTTGGCGAATGCTCTAGTGTTTGCTAGATGGGGTAGGCGGGTATATATAAGAGGGGAAAACGTGACGCGGGAGATTAATGTAATGTGTGCGTAGATAGTGAGTAATTGAACTGCAGTCATAGGGTATTGTTGAAGTTAACGTTCGTTCGTTATAGTGTTTGTTTTAGCGCGAATATTGAAATAAGTGTATCGGTAAAGTTGTATTCGGAAAGAATAAACCAGTTTTATTAAGTAAAGAACTTGTGTCCCTGAAGTTTCGTCGGAACGAAGTTACGGAAAGTTAATTAACAAACGGAGACGTAACAATACGAATAATATTGTTACGTCTCTGGTCGATAGTTAATTTCCCGTATAATTTCTTTCGGATGAAACTTTAGCGACACAAGTCCTTTCTTAAATAAAACTAGTTTATTCTTTCTCAATTCAACTTTACGATACACTTAATTTCCACAGTCACCTTAACTTAAACACACGCTATAATTCACCACGATTCTAATGCCTGTCTGCAATTCTAATTCCGATAGAGGGCGCTTAGCAAATACTGGATTATTCGTCATCTTCCCCGATCTTTCTAGAACTCATTACGTGTTACCAGAATCACGTGAC